TATCCTCTTCTACTGAAGCATAGTTTTGGTGATCATTTTCTTTAGGCTTGTATCCATTTGCCCCATGTAGACCCGTAAGCGCATCTCAATTGTGATACGCTATAATGTTCCTATGCTTTTCATAAAGTAGACTTAAAGTACAATTTTCGACACGCAATGCTTTCTAAATGAAAGATTTTTTCCGAAATTCCATACTTTGTTTTAATGTCTAAGTCTCTTTTTCTAAAACTGACCTGTGTCTTTGAGAAATGAGAGAGTGCTCGCTTTCGGCCTTTTTATAACAACATGCATTTTAATTTGCCAGACTCACTCATCTGTGTCTCTATGTTTGTACTCCAGAAACTCATGAAGATAATATAGTCAAGAAGAAAATATTCCATCTGCGAAATCGAGCCCATGACCAAAACTGACCCATCTAAGGCTAAAAAGAACTTGTTGACGGAGGGGCAGATCCTTAACAACCGATGGTTAATTCAAGATAAGATCGGCGGTGGTGGTTTTGGAGAGGTATACCGAGCTCTCCCGATAAATAAATCGAACGCAGCGCTATCCTCTCCTGCTCTCCAAAAATACAATTCTACGGAAAACATTTCCAGTGTCTTGTGTTCGGCAGACCGCATCGATCCCACAGAGGGCTACGTGGCAGTCAAAGTAGAGGCAACCAAGAGTCAAAAGACCACGTTGGCAATTGAGGTGGCCGTTCTGCGGGCACTCGTTGGTTCTCCCAATGTATGTCAACTGCTTGCTACGGGGAAGACCAACAAGGTGGTCTTCATCGTGATGACCTTGCAGGTAGGCTTGCAGCATTAAATTATGCAAAAGTTTTGGTCTATGACGAGATGGCAGTCTTAGCAGAAAGTATTTTTGTCATCGTAAAAAGCCTGGAGACTTAGAATTTTAATTGGCAAACAAACAAGGAAAGTTGTGGACACCAGGTTGGACGTTTTCTCATTATCAGTCTATCGCATGGCAACTGCCATTTGTTCACTATATTGAGAGATAAACGCGCAAATCGTGGTGTTAATCTTGTTTGCATTTGCAAACATTTTTAAAAACTGATAGACGACATAACAATCAGGTAATAAAGTTCTGAGGTCTGAGACCAGGCTCAGACAGCTGCCTAACGAATTTCAGTGAAGGTTATAAACGTCAGCAGAAGGCCGAGATCAAGCGAACGATAATGCCACGACATGTTGATGGTTAGCAGAGAGGAATGGCCAAATAAATTTGTCCTGCTTGCCTGTGTCTAGACTAGCGAGTCATATATATGATCCTGCAGGAAGTCTGCCTTTCATTCAGTCAACCAGTAGTCACTGCTGCGAAGTCCTAGCCTATTCATTTCGTTAGATGTTTAAATTGACGTGGTATGAAGGAAAAAACCAACACGTCTTCATACTCATGTAGTTTTACAAGTTAAAAAACAACAAACCGTTTGATCTCATATGCGATAGGGGAAATGTTAAGAGATAAATGCCTGTTATGTTAGTATATATTTTGCACCTCAACCTCATGAATGGTACCACATGACTGTGTTGAAAAATGCCTGCCCAGTACGTAGATATACAAATTTATCCGTTTCAGTGGCAAGCGGGCGAATCAGGTAAAGTTAAGTCCAAACAATTGTTCTCCGTTTGTGGTTACTCCTGATATACAGTTACGGGTGGTTGGGCTGGTAAACAAATCTAATAGTTCGGGAAAGATACATTGTGAACTTTCACTTTGAATAAGTTATGCTATTGAATGTTATCAGTGCAGGTGCTCAAAGACCAACTGACCCGGTCTTAACTCTCAGTTGCGCATGGTCTGGGGTTATCATATGGATGGCTGATGCAGCCAAATATTTCAGAAACGAGATACCCAGTCTCCCATGTCTTTGCTATTATTCCATGTATATATATATATAACTATATTAGTTGTTGGTCATCGCCGTGTAGTCCCTCCAGAGAATTCAGAGTGGTGATCCAGTCAAACTACGACAATTATCCACATTCCTCGGAACAGTCAAGATGAATTTCCAAATGCATTGAAAGATAAGTCTTTCGTGGAAGTTTTCAACCTTCAAATAACTACACGAGGGACTTCAGAGGTAACAGAGGAGAGCGAAGTCACGCAAATGTGCAAACGCATGCAAATCCTCGAAAAATGTCCAAATTTACAGGGTCAATTTTTTACATCTCACAGTCATCCAGACAGCATGTACAGTAGGGATTTGCAATTTAAAAAATGGTGCATAAGGGAACCATGGGAAAAAGCCAGGGATCTTTCCATCGGATGTTACGGTGAAATTTTTGAGCTAAATTTTTGACCGAGAACTCCGTTTAATTCATAGTCAACGTATCAGCCTACGTCGAATAGAGTCTGTTATTTAGAGCACTTGTACCACCTCTAACTTATGGTCCATCCGACGCACGTTACAACACCACGTCGTTTGAAATCTTAGATTAATCTTCAGTGATCACTAGTGAACTCACTAGTTCCGCTTTTTGCCTTGAGGTTCATTCTCAAGCCCCGCCAGCAGCCGCACAGTGGCTAGTAGTCTAGACAGATAGCACTGCCGGCAAAGACACGGGAGACTGTAATGGCCATTTCTAACTCAGTAGCCATCATCAGCCAGTCGTATTGAAACCCAAGTGGCACCACACCCGAGGCTAGGGCGGCGCGGGGGAGCTCCGTTGGCGATCGATGAACATTAATCAAAGAAAGTCAATATATTCCAACCTAAACCGACAAGAAAACAAGCCCATCGCTCAATGGTTTGGGCGTTAGATTCTGATCAAAACGTCGCGAGTTCGAGGAGTGGGTGGTGCACCAATTGAGTCTGGGTATGACTGGCTGACGACAGCCAATAAACCAGAAATAGTCATTTCAGTTTCCCTTGTTTCTCATGGTTAAGTAATAAATTGATTTTGTATACCTCTTGTAGTCTAACTATGAGCTGAGGGACCAAACATGAGAGCGTTCGCGACAAATTTAATGTCTTCCCAAAGAACCTAATATCTTCCTTATTCTATTTCTTGGAGGTTCGTTTTGTAGTACAGGCGTTAAAACGTGTGTTTCTTTTTGAGAACTTATCTAAATAAAAAGAATATATGTAAGTTGTGTTTTTCTGTAGACAGTCCAGTTTTTGAAATAACTGCTCCTTAATTTCATAACAAACTTCGACTAAATAAAGCTTAGCTAAGGTGTTAGGTGCAGACCGAGATTTGATCTCAATATCCTGACCGAATTCTATCGGCCACAACAGCATAACTGCCAACACACAGGGTTGGATGACGCAAAACCCCGACAGCACAGGTATAAGCCAAAACAAAGCATCGAATACAATAACGAGACAAGCTTTGGTGAATAAGGCTGTTGACGTTACCTCTACTGACATGCATAGCACCATGCGTCAGCATAAATGTAATTGCTTTCGCAGTGTGTCTTCACCACCATTCCTGTTCCTTTCTAGGGCCCGAGCCTTAGCGTTCTCTTCAAGAAATCACCCCAACGTCGTTTCACCCTCCCCACCACCCTCCGGCTAGCTTGCAAGTGCCTCGATGCAATCGAGGCGGTGCACTCAGTTGGCTTCCTGCATCGAGACATCAAGCCTGGCAATTTCACTATTCGGGCTGATGAGCCGCACGAGGTCTGCATTTTGGATTTTGGCCTCTCGCGCAAATTCATCTCCAGCGACCCTCGACGGACCATACGGGAGCCGCGCAGCTCGGTTTCCTTTCGCGGCACGGTACGCTATGCCTCCATAAACGCCCACGAAGGTCGCGAGCTTGGTCGCCACGATGACCTCTGGTCTCTCCTCTACATGCTCATCGAATTCA